CAGAAATGGTACACTAGAGTTGTATGCTGTGAACGTACTACGAGGCCGCGACCTCGGGTTATCTTCCTACGCCACCGTTCGTCAGCTCTGTACAGGTCGCTCAGTGGCAGACTGGAGTGACCTGGAGGATGTCATGGACACTCCAGAGCTGGAGCAGCTGCGGAGCACCTACTTCAGTCCCCAGGACGTCGATCTGTGGGTGGGCGGCATGCTGGAGAGTCGCGCGCCCTCGGCCAAGGTGGGTCCCACCTTTCAGTGCGTGATCGCCGACCAGTTCCGGCGGCTGCGGGACGGCGACCGGCTCTTCTACGAGCGCAGCCTGAGCGGAGAACAGCTGCGGGAGGTGCGCAAGGCCAGCCTGGCGCGCCTGCTCTGTGATAATCAGCAGGGTCACCGCTTGGCGGCGCCACTGTCGTTCGAACCGCTCGGAGGTCAGAATCACATGGCGCTGTGCTCGTCAGAGGCGATTCCAAAACCCGACCTGAGTCTCTTTTGATTTAACCGGGTACAATGAATGCATGCTATAATTAGGACTCTGCACTGCTTAGGCTATTTTTCGGCGTTGTTAGCTTTGTTTGAAATGGGGTGTGTTGAAGTATTTAATTATATTTATTATTTACGTTTTACTGATTCGTTTATGCTTGTCTGCTGCTGTTATCCGTGATTCTCAACTGATATGTTTTGTTGTTATGGGTCTCGCTGTCTAGTGCCTACCTATTTATTGTGTGATAGTTTCGTGATTCTAGTAATGACTAGCCGTTTAAATGTTTGTCTGTTCAAGCGGGAAGTGGACACTGAATTCCGTTTTAAAACGATCATTCTGTCTACGTTTATCAATAGAGTCGTTAAAACAGCTCAGATCCCTTATGTCAGCGCTGTCATGTACATTATGAATACCTATGAGTTGGATTCATTTATCAGCCTAGCCATTCTTGATGTTCATTGCTGGCTGATCAATGTTCGTACGTCTGTCCATTTTGCTGAGCTAATAAATTTTAAGAAGCGAGTCTGTTTTATCTGAGTGCACAAATTAATATTTTGTGATAGCTGTCGGCTTTTCCGATGCATTTTTATTTGGCGGCTGGTATGATTTAACTACACTTGACTTCCACCAGGGAAAGCGCATTGTTTTGCACGGGTAAACAAAGGATGCGCAAAGTCTTTTCAGATGAGTTGAACAAATCGAGCAGCATTACCGTCGATGCGACACGGAATGAACATGACAGGCCACATGTCACAGAGCCCTGCATACCTATACTATAAACAACATTATGTAGTGTCATAACCATCGCCGGCGCAGGGGGGGGGGGGGTGATGCACCCTCCCCCCCCCTCCTAAGGTTTTTCGCAAATAGCTCGCGTAAAAAGCAGCTGATTGCTACAAAGCTTTCAGTACCCTCGCATTGATCAATTTTACATCTATCCTGAAAATTTCATGACCCTGACTCAAATGACCTATGACCTGTGACCTACTTTCCGAGACCATGTTTGGCCGGATTCGCGATTCGGCGTATGTCGGCTCGCATTACCCGCGCGTTTGCAAGCTTTTCGAGGTTTGAAACGTTCAAACATGTGATTCGATGTTGCTCCCATGCATTCGAGTGGATGTCAAGGTCACCTGAAGGTCAGGTCAGGTCATTGACCTTTGGGGACATCGGTTCACTTTTTTTACTTTTACATGTTTCTAGGCTAGTTTTTTAGCTGAATTCGAATTTAGCATCCATTTGAACATTTGCGAAGTAGATTTGGTAGCCTTCGTAACACGTAACGAAGCTGTCAGAGACGGTTGACACGTATTACGAATACCCGTCATGACCCCTACTGGTTGACCTGACCTGGCCTGACCCGACCCGGCTTAAATGCTCAATGACATCATCTGTGACCAAAGCTAACACGATATTCGTGATCAGCACCCCGAAAACCCCATAGCAGCCACACTTAACGACTTTTTAACACGTCCCGATTTTCCCGACTTTTGGGTCATTGACCTCACCTGAAAGGTCAACGACCTAGGACCTTAACCCTCGCCCGTAAACGGCGATCTGCCACCTTCGCCCATGCAGGGGGGGGTTGGTGCGACCCCCCCCCCTTGGCGTTTGAAAACGGAGCGTCGTAGAGCTTAGCGGAAAAGATCAACGGATTGCTCTCGCCGAGATCTCGCGATTGGTGGTATTTTTTTGGTCCTAGGTCAACATTTGACCTACTTTTGACCGGTCAAAGGTCAAATTTTCGGAAAAATAGACTTTTTTCAACTTTCGGCGGCGATTGCGGCAAAACAGTGGGAGATATCGACTTGAAACCTTCATTATCGTGTTCCTTGATCAATTCTCTATCGTTTGGTATGTATTTCGTTTCCCTAGCTCTAAAAATGGCGCGTTGGGAGCGCCGGAAGTCGGCAAGGTCACAGTCGGCGGCAGAAATTCGAAAAATCAAAATTTAAATTTTTGAAATCTGATTGTATTTTTGGATTTGGGAGGTCCATTTGCTCCCTATAGAAGCTAGTATTACTGCATATTCCCATTGAGGTGACAAGAATTAGCAAAATAGTGGTTCGGGCGCTTTTCAAAAATAGTACCGGACGCTGTTCCTCTTGTGACGTCATAGCTCCGTGACCTGACCTGACCCGGTCAAGTTTCTTATACCATATGATAGCCAATACTTGCCTCAACATGCATGGGAAGTTTCATCACGATCCATCAACCGATGTCCGTACCACCGGCAGGAAACCTCGGGCGTTGGCACTCAGTTTGTGAAAATCCGGCCGGAGGCTGTTCCCTTTGCGACGTCATAACTCCGTGACCTGACATGACCCGGTCAATTTTTTTTTATCAAAAGATGCGCAAGGTTTGCCCCATAAGGTATTCAAAATTTGGCGGCGCTGCGCGCCGCCGTTTTTGCACTATGTCCGAAAAGCCTCAGGGGGGGTTGCACCAACCCCCCCTACATGGGCGAGGGTTAAAATTTGGGTATCATCAGTTTCCTCTTGTGACGGGCAACACGCTCGTTTTTTCCGCGAAGTTCTAGCTCGATCAGGGGCCAAACGCGGGTGGTCGTACCTATCCCCCCCCCCATTTGTGCCGTCGAAGGACGCCTGAAAATGGCCTGTGCCGGCGAGGGATAATGTGTTATGCTAACTTATTAGGGTCAATTCGGAATACATTTATCTTAACAAAAACGGTTGATCATATTATTTAAAAATTGGGCGTCAGCAAATGAAGAACTTTGAAGAAACTTCTTTTATGCATTATTTTGTGAAGGCTTACAATTGCAATATTTGCAGTTCCTGTATGCCATCCCCTTATTCCGGCTATATGTACATATGTGCGCACATACTTATGGAACACTTTCACCGTTACATATAATGTACTGCATCTATGTAGGTGTGTACTTTGTACATCTCAATTACAAGTCATTGCACTGTAACACACATTGCATATCAGATGAGCCAGATTTTGCAACAGCTAGCATCCGAGCAATGGAGACTGAGGTTGAGATAGCCGACACGCCCCAGTTAAAGTGGAGCTCGAACTCTTTAGTGTGTGCCCCTTATCAAAACAGCACTGCGTAGACTGTGTGTATCCAAGTACAGCGCTGCCCGTTATACGTATCTAAGTAGTGCGATGACTGGGCTTATCGTTTAGGCCTACCCTTGACACGTGCCAGTCTGTGGAAATGTAACGGACGTAATATAAAGTTGGTGACCATCTAGATCCATAATCTCGTTCCAAACCCGCTGAACTAAAATATTGTTTATTGAAAATTTGTGTAAAAGTGTTTTACCTACTTACACTGAGCGACGACTTATGACTTACTTTTTATTTTGCGATGGGATTCATGACCGACCCTGGGATCCGGCGAGCTGCGGTTTTGTTGTAACTGGAAGAGTTAATCATAGTACAGTTGAGGAAAACGCAGGACCCAGATTATCACGGTAGAGTAAGTATTTCCGCCTACGGAGGCCAACTTTAAGTATTATGTGATTATATTCTTAGTATTACGTGTATGTATATTGCGCCTTGGGCTGTTTTGATGTGACGTAGAACACACTTATGCCTACTCGTAAGTCGTACGTTCGTCTACAGTGTCCAGCAGGACTTGAATAAGCTCAGTTTTTCAGCGTAGTGAGTTGAGCTGGCATATAAATCGTTCATGACATTAAAGCGGAATCCTTTCTGTACTTAAAAAAAAAACATGGCTTTTCGCGATCTTCAGCATTTTGTTCTGTTTGAGGAAAATACCGAGCTATTGTCAATTTTGAATGCTGCAAAATGGCGTATGTATATGCTGCAGAATGGCATATGTATATCCCGAATATCCCTTCCCTTAGCATCCGCCAGTGGAGTTCATTCCCGGAAACAAAAACATTTCCCAAGTCCAAAGAAGATCACCCATGCTAGCGCTTATAGTGTTACGCACTAAAATTACTCACGCGATGCACAAAGGCATTCCATGAGCGAAAATCGTGCATTTCTTGGCAGAAAAATCGTTCAACACTTACTTTAAAAAAAAAAACTGCGTGGGTAAAGAATGACTAAGAATACTACTTTGCATGCTTTTATGCCGTAAACCGGTGCAAAAGCCGGTGGAAGGAACTGTATGCCACACAACATGCATTCAATCAGTTATCCTAAGCTTGTCTTATCGTTGATGGATCGAATAACTTCAATAACAATTGCCGTCCGCGGTTCGCGGACGGCAACAGTTCCGCGCTGATTCCGCTCGCACGTGTCCAAATGACACCGATCTGTGCCCGTCTGCGGCACTGTGGGCAGCCGGATCGCGCGTGCTGCCCCCCCCCCCCCACGGCCTCACCTCCGGCTTTAGCGTTAATCACCACACCGCAGAAATACAGGAATGTCCACATTCTGCACGGAGCGGTCACTGACCTGCATTGTTGCGCCGCTGCGCCGCAGATTCAAACCGGCCGCGCTGGCTGTCCGGAGCGCGGTGCCAGAGGCTGTACGGCGGCGCTGTCAGGCGGTGTACGCGCCGAATTAGGTTAATGTTGGTGCGGCGGTGGGACGGAGGGCGGCAGTCGCAGACGGGGCGGCGGCCGGAGCGTGTGTGCGTGTGTGTGGTCCGCGGTCACGTGGCGAAAAAAAGGAACGGGCGACGTGCTCCTGACGGACAGATTGGGCTGTTTTGGTGGTTGGCTTCAAAGGTGAGTTCAGGGAGTGGGCGGCACAGGGAGGGGTGGGACTTAAACCATTTTGGGATACTTGGTGATTGAGTTTGATTGAAATATAATATTACTAATGGCGTAAATGGGAACTGTTCTTGTATCTTTGTTATTACCACCAAACTCTGCATGCCCGATGTAATGTTTGGTAAACATATGCAAAGCTTGTTGGCAATCACACGTCTTTCCTGTCCCGGTCAATGGGAAATCGACACATTTCGTCTTTTTATGAATGTCATGGATTGTTTTGATATTTCTAGGAATATTGCTTCGTTGGAAGTTTGAAATGTCTTGCATGGAAATGTTTGAAACTAAAAAAACAAGAATTTCGTAAGGTTACATTGATGAAGCATGGCTTGCTTAGCATGCCTAAGCGATCTTATAAAGTAATGATTCAATGATCTTTATGTTATATCATCTATCTTCAACTTTTTTTACTTGAGTTATCCACACATCCCCCAAGGTTGCAACACCCATAGAGCTTCCCGGTTCCACTATGACCCAGTGTTAAACATCATTTCTTTTACAACAATGGCAACCTTCATTGTCTCCCCAGATCATCAAATATCCCACACTATAATAGGCACCTGCCCGTCCCCCTTTGGTTGAACATGTCACAGCAGCAGTCCTACAGACTCCTGACACCGGAACGAACGGTGTGCCAGAAACGGGAGCCGGCGGCTGTCCGATGTCCCACTGCCGCCGCCGCCGCCGCCGCCGCACGCGCAAAGTCACGGCCATCGCCGGCGGCGCACAGTGTCCCGGATAGCGGCACAGAGCGGCCCGTGGCCTATTCAAACGCACCGGCCGCCGCAGGCTGAAAGACAGATGGTGACTCGGCTACAGAAGGATGGAATCAGATCCTGGTGACGACCTGGATGGATGGACGTCTGGAGTTTGATTTGGTACTTGCTTATCCTCGTCATTTGATGGTTTGAGTTGTTGTCGGATGCGGCCATAGAAGGGATGCGGATTTAGTGGCTGTTTATCTACCCGCATGGCTTGGAGGTTGTCGATAGAATCCAGCCCAGCGTCTTACTTATCAGCGGTTCAGTAGCATTCATTGCATTGGTTCGTAGCATCTAACGTAGATGGAGAACATTGATATGCAAAGGAGTCGTGCAAGGCGGGTGCAATCACAGCAGGATGCAGGAAGGAGTCCAGCGTTCTGCTTACATAATCAAGTAGCTTCTCTAGGTGCTCGCATCCTACTCTACGGTATTGGGTGCGCTCGTGGCACATATCTTTATGCTAACTGCAGGCTACTTCTACAAAGGGAGAGGGACACAGATTGAATGCTGTAGATCCATTGCCTCACAGCATCCCTCGATTCACCATTTGAATCCCAAAGAGCAGCTTCAGGCCGCACGTGTCAAAGAGTCGCCTCGGCCGTCTCGGGTAGCAAAGTAGCACATCCGGTCGGATCTGGCGGCGGCAGCGGGCCTTCCTCCGCGCAGCGAGCCGCACCGCCCGGCCGCAGGTTAACGGACCCCGGCCCGACATTGTGCCCACCGAGTGACTTGCACGAATGGACCGAATCTAGTGACCCACTGCTGCTGTGGTGGCGTCTGCGGTGGCGGCGATGGAGGCGCCGATTCGTGGGAAACAGGTCTCCTGTAGTCAGCTCGGACCATTCAACAGTCGCTGCTTTCCGAATGGTGGTGTGAATGAGACGAACCATTCGATCATGCCGATTGAATGGGGCTGGTGGTGATGCGTCATCATTTGTGGGTCACATTAGTCATGGACTATTATTGACCTGCTCAAAGGTGTTTCCCCGGACTAAATGTTCGTGTGAACTCGGCCTTTTTGTGTGGCCTTGCTGTTTATTTCCGTGGTAATGGACCAGTTTGCCGTGAACATGCATGCCGCTGCTATATCGGTAACACAAATGTCCGACAAATATGGCAACAAACTACGAGTATTGGCTTGTAGATCGCAGTTCCAATGCGGTGTAGCATTGTAAACTAGATAAATCATCCTGATGCGTGACTGAGACTTCAAAATAAGGGCCCCAAGTAAACACTTTGTCAGTTGCTGAAGTCCAGCTTTTGCATCGAGCGTTGTGCCTGACCTGCATAACTTTTAGCAGCTTTTGAGCAAGTTTTGAAACCGAACAAAAACACACGCACCGTTAACAAATGACGACGTATGTGCTTCGAAAACACGTCATCCTATTGATTGACAACCTCCAATATATTGATTACCTCACAACGCCCTTCCCTATTCAAACGCATCCATCCATCACTCCTCCAACGGACGTCCCGACCGCGTGTTCCGCCCGCCGACCGCCGCGGGGTCAAACACCGGCCCGCTGGCAGCGTGTCGGTGCAGTCAGCGGCGGCGGCGGAGCGGGCTGACCTCAATCCAACGGCCTCGATCGGGGTCAGGCGCGCTCCACGCTGCCCGTGCAGACGGACCGGTCCCGTCTGCTGCAGCAGCCGACCCAACCCGTCCGGAAACAGCCCTCGGCGGCCCAGCGACCGGCCTCGACCGGGTCCAGCCCGGCTGGACCCGACTCGACCCGGGAGTCTGACCAGTCCCCGTCCGTATAAAATGGCCCTCGGCGACCGACCGACAGAATCGGACAGGCAATGATTGACCCCGTCCCTTCGTCTGTATTTCCTATCGTCACCCGTCCGCCTGTGTGTCCGGTCGCCATTTCTTCAGCTCGTATGGGAAGCTACCGTTTCGCTCTGATGTGGACCGCATTAGCCATCGATTTGCGGCTTTTTCGGTAATTGTGTGCGCCGTAAAAGCGTTTTAGTGGCGATCAATTCAACACCGTTGAGTTGTTTTTGTTTATCCTCTCGGCATTGTTCAATTCACATCGTGAGAGAATTTCGAAGTCCAGATGCTCCCCAGCTTCACGCCAGATAGCTTGATTTTACTCTTCTCGTTCTGTTGCGTGGCCCCTCTCCATGCTGGTGCTACTGCCCTAGCCTCCAGTGCAGTCTCCCAGCTGGTATCCAGGCCCGGTGTTATGCCCTTAGCCTCCACTGCAGTCTCCCGAAGCGGCCGCCATATTGGTGTTAGTGTCCTACTGCCCATTGCAGTTTCCGGTTCCTGGTGTTATCTGTCTACTCTATACTGCAGTCTCTATGAGCGGCCGCCGCGCTGGTGTTAGTGCCCACCTGCCCACTGCAGTCTCTCGGTTTCTGGTGCTATTTACCGACTCTCTACTGCAGTCTCTATGAGCGGCCGCCTTGCTGGTGTTAGTGCCCTACTGCCCACTGCAGTCTCCCAGTTTCTGGTGCTATTTACCGACTCTCTAATACAGTCTCTCGTACAGTAGCCCTATTCCTGGCGGGCTCCGCCGGGACAAGAAACTGGCGGGGGGGGCCGATTCGGCCCCCCCCCTGAGATCTCGAGAACGAAGCAAGATAGCGACAAGCGGTAAACGGCATCGGATACGCACGGCCAAGATCTACAATTTTTACTAAGGTCATTTTCAGGTCAGGTCAAAGATGACGTCACAGGGGTCGAAAAAGTCAAAATGGCGGCGCTAGATATGGAGAGTTTTTCTCGAATAACTTTCGAATTAGTCAAGATAGGAACAAACTAAGGGCATCATCGTGATCCTCTCGTCAATCCGCATCGAATGATATATATGTTGACCTCGAAAGGTCAAGGTCAAAGGTTGACCTCAGGTCACGTGACCTCGAGGTCATCATGTATATCATTCGATGCGTCTTGACGAGCTGAACACAATGAGACCATCCACGCGTCTATATCTTGTTTTCCTGTACGGAGTTATTGGCCAAAAACCTTTGGTGACCTTTGATGACGTCACATGACCTCACAGCTGCCCAACAGCAAAACAGACCTCAAGGTAGTGAAGGTTGATCGTATATGAAGTCATGTATGGTATATGGGGCCATTCCGACCCGTTTTAGTGGTAAAAACAGGGAGTTGATTTTTCCCCCATTGACTTATAATGGGGAGGTCGCGAAATTGACCTGACCTTAGGTCACCGATATCAAAATTCCGAGATATACAAATTGTACATACTGGTACCCTAACTAAACCCTGAAGAGAAGAAATTGATCGGTCAAAAACTCTAGCTCTGGCGTGATTGCAAACTTTTCTGAGGTAGGGTCACCAAACCGCCTCTGGTGACCTGACCTGAGGTCAGATCAACTCAGAATTTTCAGACCTGTTGCGTAGAAGCCTTTTAGGAAAAGTCAGAAAATTTGAGCTTCCTAGCTCAACGCGTTTGGGAGAAATAACCAAAAAACCTCAGGGGGGGCTCCTGAGGCCCCCCCGCCAGGAATAGGGGTAGACGCCGCACTGGTGTTAGTGTCCTACTGTACACTGCAGTCTCCTAGTTTTCTGGTGTTACGTATCTACTCTTTCCTGCAGTCTCGTACAGCAGACGCCCCACTGGTGTTAGTGCCCAACTGCCCAATGCAGCTCCCTAGTTTCTGGTGTTACTTACCTACTCGATATCGCAGTCTCCTACCTCACAGTACCTGGTGATATGCTCCCTTGTATCAGTGCAGTCTCTGTCCGGCTGATATGCCACTGCCAAGCGCTGCAGTTTTTGACGTCTGCAGCCGCTGCTGCTGCACTGCAGTCCGACTGTGCACACATCTGCGCAGCAGGAACCGTTACAGTTAATCCGGTATGTCGCTGCTAAGTTTCCTGACGTGCCACTTACTGCTAGTTATAGCACTGCCGTCGACAAAGCCCACCGGGCACTACCAGACCGCCCTGCACCTACTGCCTTAAAAAACGGGGAGGCTCGCAGAGTTGTGACCTCTGGATGGCCCTCGTGCCTCATCCTCCTACCTTCATATCAACCCCATCCCCATCCCACCCTCCCTCAATATCGCACCTTTGCATCACCGCACCCAGAAGTGTGTCGAACACATTCAAAACACACTCGCTCCGGCCGAACCGGCTAGGCTAGGAGTCTCTGAGGCGGCGGCCGGTGTCCGGTTCATACCACGTGCCGCGTGCTAACCGGACGCGCTGTTGACCGGACGCTGCGCCGTCCCCGGCACCCGCCCAGCCGGCCGGATTGCTGTGCCGGAGGTATAGTGACGTCACTGGCCGGTGGAGTGCAGGAGTTGCCCAAGAGAACCGGACGCATGATGCGTAGGATTTGTTCTTAACTGCGACATAACTGTACTAAACTGCGCAGTTCCCGTCTAGGTTGTGTTGTGAAATAAGCAGTTTGGCATCCGGCTTGAGTAAGAATTCGATAACATTCTACCTCTCTCAATTCAAAATGCTTGGAAGACTGGACAATGTCCGTCATTGTGCCATCATACTTGAGGGAAGTGATGATGAATCACGCTTCTCTGCACTTATAACACGCACAGAGGGCGAGCCGCTAGTTCCTGTGATTGTGTGAGAGGTATGTTCCTCTCGCTCGCCACACACCCATCCCCAATCACATACTGAGGGTAATTATTGTAAGAGCCCATAATGAGGAGTGCCAAGTGCCTGAGAGCACGCCCTTCCCGGGATTCATTACTCACAGGGTAGTTGAGAGTCAATGGGCCTAGTCAAACGCCATTGGTCATTCTGGACAGGCTATTGTGGTTGGGCCTACAATTAACCTCAAATTGACGGAGCGTCTTCAGCGGAAAGGGGAACTCACCTGTCTTTATAGGTCAGATGTCATTTCATCGGATCTGCTCCAGCGTGGTCCTTGTGGAATTGATACCTCATATTCACAAACAATGACAGTCTGCGCTCATGATGCAGGCATGTAAAAGCAACAGATAGATTTACAATTAGTCATTTCCAAGTCCCTTGTTCCGCCTCTGCCGCAGCTTGCTCGCCCTCGCCGCACCTGTGCCTGGGTCCGCCCCTGCGTCGGTCGATGTGGGTCACTAGGTAGAGACCCGACCATGGCTAAACCACCACGGTCTGGCCGGAGCCATGCCGCGAGGGCGGGACCTTGCGTGCGTCTGTGGGGCTTTTTGTGCGCACCCCGACCCAGGCGGCTGCCCATCGACAAATGACGGATGATGACCTTTTTGTGGCCTGGGAGGTTTTAAAACGGTACTGTTTCCGGTGGACTGAAACGAAACGTTAATATCAACTTAGCGCAACAATTATATGGAATTTGATCGGCGTTAAAATATTTTGATTGCATCATGCTTATAACACTTTGTTCATAGTATTCTTTCTGCGCCCATTTAGGTCTGAATTATCAAGGCTGTTTCACCGCAAAATGTGTGCACTGCTGCAGTTCCCTTGGAAAATCCGACGCTCCTAGACTGTACACAATGGGAACACATTAACTTTGACTTTTTATCACTGCTTGCTAAACGAAAAAAAACACTAGTCTGATGAAATGCTGGATGCAGTGATATTGCTGCAGGAATTATTTTAATTTTATTGTTTTGCATACCATCGACATAAATTGCCACGCTTCTTTGCTTTCAAACCAATCTCCAAATGTAGCTTGCCGAATATGGTCCGCATTTATGTGGGATTTTATCAGAGAACTTGTTTGTACTACATCAACCCTTGAGGGACTATTTAATGATCAACCAATGAACCACCAATAAGATTAGCAAAGAACCTGTTCGCGTAACCCCATCTCTCTCCCTAAACAACCCTAACCATCGCCCTACCTCCCTCATCCCCTCACCCATCACCATCCCGTTCCGGAACCCCATCTCCGGCGCGGCGGTTGCCGGAACCGGATGCTGAGTGCCGCCCGGTCGAGCTCCACTCTCCTCTGTCCCAGCCGACCGACTCCACATCCGTCCCAACTGACCCACTGTGCTCCTGACAACCGGTTGGCATTCGTTTTGAGATCCGCCGCCCGTGGCTGACGACACGGGGCATGACACACCGGTTTCGGGCTCAGCCGCTGGTGTGACACTTAGGTATGCCTTTTGAGATTGTGGCATTTACGAGAATCATGACACATGTTATTTATAGTGAGCAAAAGAGCTGTCATTCCTGAAATATAAAGTAGTTCCTATTTCAAAATGAACGAAGTTTCAAACATCAAAGACCAAGCCTTATACCGAGAACTTTAGGCACGTCGTTTGTTGTTTTAGCACGAGGAGGACTTCCTACACCCCACTTCCTCAGCCCTCATCCTCCATCCTACACTATTTCTTTCGCACAACGATAAGCCTTTTTTGACATATCCTCTCTGCTTGTTGCAGAATGCAGTCTACGTCACTCAACCGTAGCAACTGAACTGTCATATATTGTTCAGGTAAGCCAATGTTGGAGAAGTACACTTGTCATACCTCACTAGTCGGTAGAACTTTCTGATCATTCTCTGTGGTCTTCCAATACAGTCACGTTAGGCTAGTTAGCCTTATTTTTTCTCACCCAGTCTGACTTCACACCCACCAAAAGGGCAGCCAAAAGTGGTTGGTTGAATGGTGCTATGCGATTGATTAGGCATGCCAACAACTTTTTCGATCGGGGGTTTCACGACTCAGAATCCTTCACAACTTACCCTGCTAAAAGTAGAGTATTCGTGCAGCGGAGGCTTAACGCCTTTGACTGCTAAGCAGCCTTTTTTCACTACCCTTGAACACTGACGAAAACTAAACCGCTTACTGGTCCATTGCTCCACCAGAAAACGTGCGTGAAGTAAGCATACGTATTCCTATAGAAAGAAAGTAGTTGGAAGTCTTAACTTGTTCTTGCTAGCTGAATCTGATCCTATGCTGATCCGATCTAGATCTGCTCTACTTCTGATCCTATGTCCTGTTTAAAACATGTCCCAGTTCGGGAGTAGTAGCCTTACGCTCCCACGGTAGCTCAAAGGCTTTGTCATAACGCTTAGTCATGGTACTTTTGTTTGGAAATGAAACCTGCTTTCTAGGTAAATGCGTGTCAATATGTGCGCACTGTGCACGCAATCCATTCACGAAATACCTGGGATGTAAGTAACAAATCAAAGTAGGAATGGAATGCTCATGCTACTTGTGCACTAGCACTACCGCTCATTACACATACACACCGTCAAAGTTCCCGTCATCAGCAGGCCACACGCAACCGTCGTTCAATCTCCTGCAGCACTGTCACGCTCTACCGTAGCACCCGCGTTACGCGCTTTCCCCTGTAAGGAGTTCGTTCACCTTTGACTCCCAGCACGGCACTCTGCTATCTTCGTCCGAATCAGCATCTGAACACGCCGATTTGAGCTAGCCGCAGGAAAAGTTATTCGCCGTTTATGTAACGCAAAGACCGGCACTTGTGGCTGAAGTCGATCAGGATGTGACCTCTGGACTAAAGGTCATACCACACGATTGCCAGACAATACTCCAGAGGCCCCATACAGGAAGAGAACGAATCGAGACGGCTTAGTATGAGACCCAAGTCCTGCACGGGTGCCACAGGTAGATTGGGGCTGCCCCGGTCAGGAAGTAGACCCACAGGACACGACAGAATAATCCCACTATTGTTTGGCGTCGTGCACCTGCCCCGCCCGTATGTTTGTTTACGGAAATGTTTTTGCCGGCCGAGGGAGTGCCGAATCTGCGGATATTGACCGTAAGCCGTCACGCTGCCGATCGAACACGATATGCCACGTCTGTCTGTCGCTCCGCTCTGCTGTTCGTGTTCAATCGCTGGTATCAGCGGTGGGCGCTATGGGTCAGCGGTATTTCTAGGCTCGTTTGAGTCCCGTTCGTGTGACCCATCGTGACAGCATCCTCCCCACCCCCGCTCCATTATCCCCCCCCCCCCCCGGACGGAAGTTCCTACGGCGGTCGGGGTTAGCAGGTCACTTGGGTTGCGCAACCCTGCCTCGAGCGCCGGCCGCTGCAGACCACGCGGACAAAAGGTTACGGTACTTGAGCGGTCCTCCCCTACCACGCCGAGCCGTGGGAGTGTGTCCGGCTATAGCGGAGCGGTCGGTAGCAGGACTTGACTCATCAGATATGGACCCAGTTCCTTCGCGTGACTGCCGCACGCATTCTCAGGGAAGTTGCACTGCATTTTATTCGATAGAATTTCAGACAGGTCTGTGAAACTGAATGCCACAATGCTTTAGTTCGGTGGCTTGAAAATACTTTGAACTCATTCCCAGCAATGACTTAAGCGCCATACAAAGGGATTCGAGTTTCTAACCATCGGTGCAGAGTAATGATGAGATGACTCATATGGAATCGCCCTATCATCAGTGACATTTTTAAATGATATCGATAGATTTACTGGGCTGATTCGATGGTGCACCAAGGAGCGCCCACCTGGCTCCTCAGTCGGCGCCACGGCGCGCCTGGTAACTCGGGCTCCACTCATGGCGCGGCGGCGGTGGCGGCGCGGCGGTCACTGACTGGAGTTTCTCTCCGAGGAGAGTTTCCCTCGCTGACCCTGATAGCTCCTGAGCCGTGGATGGACGAGTGCTCGGTCGGCTTTTTACGACCGCCAGCCACGCCGACCAGCCACGCATGGAGGCCCGTTTCGCTTTCGAACGGCGCGAAATATTGTCCCCCGGCTACCGAGGTGGAACGGAGGATACTTGGTGCCCATGCCCCAGTGCCGGTGGGAAAAATCAGAGCGTGCTGACTTCTCGGGGTCATATGGAGGGTCAGGACGTCCCTGAACACAATACGGTGTGGTACAAGTTCACTGTGCGGAAATAGGGGTCAAGTAGTGAAAAGAAAGCGCCACGCCTTTGCGCACTGCTCCAGATCATGTGCGGGATTTGTTGGTAGAAAGTGCGTGTGTTTTGAACGTTTGGTGTCTTGTTTATGCACACAACAAAGCAGCCTTCCATGATTTAAATGGCTATTATGTGTTGTTTTAATACGGCACAGACGCGCCATATGTAATTGGAGTCGTTATCGTGTGGGGAAATAGCACTCTAAGACAAAATGTATATCAATTTGCACTAACGAATTCTTTGCTGCTGAGAGCATCCGTTTTTTACTGAACCAGATTAGAGAAAGAAATTTGATTACATCGCTTCAATGTGTGTTTAATACACCCATCATCCACAAATGCCAATTAGTTGCGATTGAATCTACAAAGCCGTATCTCTAACAATGACGAAAAGCCCGTATCTCTCAGATCAGCGGGGTAGGTCACCCCAATAAGCCGTTATCTCCAATCTCAGTTCGGTGCCCCTGAGGAGCTTCCCGTTGCATGCCCTCGCGTCATCTGATTGTTCCCGGTAGCTGCAGTGTCCCCTGCGTCCCCCTTGTCATGTCTGGCTGTCGGCGGTCGGCAGATCGTGAGCTGACGTTGTCGGCGGCGGTTCGACGACCCGACGCCGTCGGCCGCTGCTGCTGCTGCGGAGGCGGGCACTTTCTCCCGGGCCAACGCCCGCCACTGGGGGGGGGGGGCGTCGGGGGTACCGCGCCGCCGTTGTGGGTAGGATTCAAGGAACTCGGCCGTCTGGCGGAACCGACGATACTGCCGTCGAGGAAGGTGCCTCTGTCACGGATGTGGTCCGGTTCGGCTACAACGGTTCGATGGGCAGAGTACGTTTGCATAGTGGCAGACTTTTCACTGAATGATCATGCAAATAGCGGTGACTTTCTCCGACCATGAGCCTTGGAATTTGATGCAAATGCACTGAATACATCCGGTTCTGCTGGTTTACTTGTTCCACATTATTCGTGAGGATTGGTATAAGACTTTGCATCACTTTCATTTTCGTTGACATCATATACCTACAAGTAAGATAAGCAGCAACATTGTATTTGATATTGATTTCTCTTCGGTGCATATAGATATCATTATTGCATGACAGATCCATGGCATAGTGCGGTGCTCCCAAAGCATAAATATCTAATCAAACTTCCCAAGAAATCCTGAGCTGTGAACCATGGCGTCTGTAGTATTTTTACCGTCTCGGCTGGCTCAGGGGGAGGTGCGTCATTTCGGAGCAACGGCCGGCACTCACTTTCCACGGCGCGGCCGGTCAGTCGCCTTTCCGGACGGCCGGCGCGGCGCCCCACCCGGTGGTGCGCAGTTGTGTGCGCCTAGCTTCCTCGGCTCTGACTCGCAGCTGAGCTGTCTCAGTCCTGACTCCTGAGCACTGGCACTCGGCTGTGTCAGCTCTAGCACGCAGCTTTCTTAGCTCTCATGACTGCAGCCATGCCCAGTTAGAGTCCAACGAAATAAAAGAATGCTATATTCCGGACTTTATTGTGAAGTGAGGGATAAACAATGCACTGCATAGCCACCCGACAAAATAATAAGTTACATGCATTTGTAATTGGCTATACCTAGTTACCCTAGAATTATATGGGTAAACATTGCGAGCTACAGGATTCTTCTTTTCAAAAGCTTGAACCGTCTATCACGTAGCACATTTTCTGTGAAGGGAAATATTGCATTCAAACTGTAGTCCTGCTGACTTAATCCACCACATTTTTGCTCAACTTCCCAGTGACGATCGCGTGACTTATCTCGCGAGCTCTTCCCGTATGGGGCCCCATAGCTGGCAGGTCCTTGATCTTTGAAGGCTGCCGGATAAATTCTGGTGAATCCAGGAGCAGTTCAATGCACCTCAGCTTAGAGCTGGCCTCGCAATGGATGCCTTGAACAGAAGGATTTTGGCCTCTCGTTCTCAGCGCCGAGCCAGCGAGGCTGTGTTTACAGCTCGTCGGTCAAAAGCCCGAAAGCTTTGTGAATTGTTGCCGCTAGGTAGTTATGGATGTTTTGAAGCCTTGAAAACAAATATTATCCGATGTGATAAATGAAAGCAGTAGGATATTTGCTGCCTTTGGGGTTGCCGCTAAGATAGGCGATTTTTTACAGATGAAGGATGCCTCCATTTAATCAAAGATTCTCGCTACTATTATAGTCTAGGCTTATCAACTTTAATAAAACTTAAATCAAGTAAACAGAAAATATCCTTCTACAATGCTCAATTCTTAATTTTAACGTTTGATTTTTTGACATATAAATGCGGAAAAGTGCGTGCGAAAAGACTAACACTGGCTGTCCCAAAACACCCGTCGATCTGGAAATCATCCAACTGCTTTACATCTTCTTCTCCAGCTAACAGCATGTCCGTCTTGTTGTTTCAGTTCCTGAGAACATCGAGAGCCACCACTCGAGTCCATCTGTAGCGACATACAGCGAGCCCATCCACAGCCACACACTCACACAACCTCACAGCGCACAATGAAGCTGTACCAGCAGACGTCCCCAGACTCGGTCCAGGCATGGACCCAGGAGGACTTCGGCTTCCCGATCGACAGCAAGGCCGGTCTGGTCTCCAGTCTGGACCAACTGTTTCGGCCCAGCTCCCCGGCACCGTCATCGTCCTCCGCCATCTCCTGTGCGGCGGCGTCATCCAGCTTCGCCGAGCTGAAGCCCGTGCCGCCGCTGAAGGCGCTCACCCAGTGCGACTTTGTAGGCAGTTCAGTCGGAGAGGTAGACTCACAGAGCTACTACCCGGAGCCGGGTCCCGGCACTCCTGAGGTCGTGTCCACGACTTCAGTCAGCATCGGCGAGCTCTCGGACTCTGTGATGCTGAAGCCGGCTGAGCCTGTCTCCCTCGAATCAGACTTCTCCTCCACCGACATCGCCGCCGACGACGACTTCGCCTCCATCATCGGCAACGCCATGGTGGACCCACAGCTGGTCGTGCCCGAGAACCTCGAACTGGGCAGCTTCACCAGCAGCGACATGCACGAGCTGGAGGCGTGGATCGACGGCCAGTCGCAGGCGGCGCGGCACAGCGCGGCCGCCAGCCTGCCGCCTCCGGCGCACACCACTCTCCAGTACGGCGGCAGCCCCATGCTGCAGAACCTGCTCTCCGGACACAGTTACGCACCGGCGCGGGCGCCGCCGCCTCCCGGCTACGGCGGGATGCTGCCCGGGGGTCCCAGCGGACCGCTCCACCAGCGGCTGCAGAAGCCGCTCAGCACGTACAGCCCGCCGTCCTACAGCAGCGACCAGGCGACATCCTCCTCCACCGAGTCGGCCGCCAGCGCCAAGAAGCGGCGCGCGCTCGCCAGGTCCTTCATCAAGATGTCGATCGTCTCTGAGGGCACCAAGGACCGGCCCATGCACCGCTGCACGATCTGCAATCGGCCCTTCCTCAACAAGTCCAACATCAAGGTCCACCTCCGCACCCACACCGGCGAGAAGCCCTTCAAGTGTGAGACGTGCGGAAAGGCCTTCCGGCAAAAGGCCCACCTTCTCAAGCACTATCACATCCACAAGCGCATCAGCAGGGACTGATAGAGAGCCAGTGCTGTGCTGTGGGACTGAAGTGCGTTACGAAGGGGGCCAATCGAACTCGCGATGGTCGCCCACGTGTGCGGGCTTTCAAGCGCTGCTGGCGCCGCTTCGCTGACGGAACCCCCCACTGCCGAGTCGGTGACACGACCGTGCCTTGAGATGACCCACCGACCCTCCCCACCCTCGCAGTCGCGGCCGCGGCGGCGGCGGCGGCGCGCGCGTCAGGGCTGACTTCCCAGCGCGGCGCGGCGCGGCCCGGTCGGCCCGGCGGCGCGGCCGGCCGGCCATGTGGGTCAGCTCCGGCGCCGGGCCGGATCTAGGCCGATGAACGCCCCGGTGACAACAGCGCCAGTGCGCATGCGCGGCAGCTGCGTGAGGAGAGAGTCGGCGAGCTGCCCAGTTGCCCCCAGGCGACTCGGGCTGGTGCCGGCTTTTGACTGTGAGAAGGGATGTGCTATAATAAGACACGTGCCTGTGTCAGGTGCATTGTTATGACTGAATGTTTTTTTTTATGTAGCTTGACCTTAGACAGTGCGCATTTCCGGGTTTTGACTTTGAGACATTTAACTAGGTATTTATCATCAAACTGACGTGATGGCTGACGTGAGACAGTTGCGACATTAGATCAGAAAGTTCAACGGACTCGCTTGATTTGGTCTAGCACATTTCCATTCACATTTTACGCCTTTTGTGCAAAACTATCACGGTAGTATATGATCTGTATCAGTTAAATCAGTGCAATGCGGATTTCGTGACCTAGTAATGTTCGACGTGAGCATTCAAAACATTGCGGCTAAGTGATTCCCAATACCCTTTCAAGCATTGACATGTTGTTAACACCAATCTCGCGTGATACTTTTGACGGTGATACACCTGACTCGACGACTCCCTCCCCTCCCCTCCGATCACATCCTGTTCCACATCCAGCCTCCGACTGCAGCCTACACGGCCGCAGAGCCACCCCTCTCGGCCGGCAGGACTTCCTTCTGCAGAGGCCGCCGGACCGGACCAAACGAACCGGGCCGGACCGGACCGGCCGGCCAGACCACTCATGACCACGGCTCGCTCGGCGGGCTCCGAGCCGCTGGAAAGTCGCTGCCCCAGATAGGCGTGTAACACTTCTGGAGGCTCGGCGCCGCTCCGCTGCCGGCGCCGCTCCGCTGCGCGGCTGGTCGGCTGGTTGGCTGGTCGGCTGGTTGGCTAGCTGGTCGGTTGGCTGGCTGCCTGGCTGGCTGACCGGCTAGCTGGTCGGTCGGCCGGTCGGCCGGCCGGCTGGTCTGCGGGCTGGCCGACCGGCTGTCTGCCCGGCTTCTAGGCCGCCCTGCCGACCGATGTTTTAATCTCTCACCCGGCCAAGAAGGACGGACGGCCGGGATCGGTGTCACCCACCGACATCCGGCTGTCCCCCTTCGGCACTCCGGTGTGCGGCTGTGGTTTTACGGCCAGGGGCAGGGTCACAGAAGGGGTGTGTAACCGCGGCGCCGCTGCGGCAGGCGGGTGGTAATCGGGGTCATGTGGAGGCCGGACGCCCGAGAACCAGGCCGGGTTCCGTGAGACGCACCCGAGCGCCGCCGGCGAGCTGTACCCGACTGACTGTAACAGGGACGATACGGAACAAACGCGACAGAGTAGAACCACTGGACGTAGCGCCATCGCCGGGACGACACGGGACTGACTGAGGGACGGACGTGCGCGCAGCGCCGCGGACTGACGGACAGGAGAGCCACTGTGATAGTGTCATGACACGTTGGTCCACCGTTCGGCCACCCAAGTCTGATGACAGCCTTAGAATCGTCCCTCCTGATACTGGTACAAACGCGATAGCACGGGTGCGCGCGCGGACAGAGTCGGCCGCTCTCCCCGGTGCCTGGCAATGTGCCGCTGTCGGTCCATATCCTCGCCTATTTATTCTGTTGTTTTCGGCTGTCGTACGGCGCCGCAGGGGTTCGCGCGGCGTGTCGATGCGCGCGAGACCGCGCGATGGGAGCGAGCTGCAGCGCTCGGCCCTTGGATCGCCGATCTCTGGTTGTTGTTGTTGAGTTTTATTGTTGTGACTGTGGGTGTTGCGTTGGTGCCTGTTGTTGCGGGTGGAACTGGTGCGGTTTCCGATGGTGGTGCGTTATAGTGTCTGCAGCGCGGGTCACTAGTTTCTGCGCGGCTGGAGCGATAGAGTGCGTCTGGCCCCGAGCGGGCTGCTTGTCACCTCGAATTAGTCATTATGTGTTCATAATACATGCGGAAACTGAGTAGAGCACCTGTCCAGTGCTGTTGACTAGACCAGTTACCACTAAGCTTTGTTCTTCTAGCGTGCTGTCTTCCTTTCTGTTTCGTCGCCTCTTCCATTTTAAGCTATGAGGTTATGGTGAGACACGGATGAGCAAATAAATGAACCGTTTTTGGTGAAAATGTCGTTTTATGACTGCATGCTCGTGTTCGCTCTTGATACAACTATCTATTCTCTTCACGAACTATTAGCGATAACATTTTTCTATGCAGGCCAATTTTAACACTTTGCATGGATATTCACGCAAATATCAGCTGCAGTGTGTACTAACAACCGAAGGACTCCTAAAAGTGCGTGTCGCTGCTACACAATCCCCAACTTCACGCTCTCATTGAACTTCTTGTTCTTGCCTCTAGTTGTACTCTTTCATGTTTGCGTTGGAGCTGCTTCTCTCAAATCTAAGTGACAATGTAATGTTTTTCTCCATTATTCTTACCTAAATCTTTGTGTTTTTTTTTCTCAGATACGTCCATCAGCTTAGCGTTCATCGACTTCACTTCTCAATCTTGTCGAACCACGATGTAGGCAGCTGTTGTCTTAAAATAGTTTTACCTCCTTTGGCATTCAATCATAAAAGAATATCTTGCGGCAATGTGCGTTGCATACCTTACCGCAATGACTAACAGTTTAATTATTTCACGTATCAAATGTCAACTTTTGAGTGATGACTTTCAAGGCAATCTAGTCCGTTCATGATAATGGCATTTATAGGTCGAAATAAATGTAATCGTTGGAATTAGTCGTATATTGCTACTGCAATACACGTCATAAAATAATGTTATGTCTTTCGCGTATTCATGATTTTTTGCCTTTTCAATAAGCGTTAAATAAGCAACAGTAATATGTGACTTAAAGGGACCCTCCCACCTTAACATTAGTTTTGAGTTGAGATAGCCAAGTTTGCGGCCAGGCTCAGAAACCACCATTTATCCTGGTCGCAACCCCCGCAGCTTTATGGTGTTCAAGAAATTTCTTCCCTTTACTTGCAGGGTGGGACCAGCGTGGTCCCTATCTCTTAACCATTACGGGAATCTGATGACGTCATCAGGCTTTCGAACGTCCGTCATTAAGTTTGACTAAAACGTTTTGTAGCACTCGGTGGTATATGCTATTTGCGCGCAACATCTGCCGCAAACGCCGCACTTCTAAAATAAAGTCGCTAGAAACAGCGGAGATCCCAAAAAAGTAAACAAAAGTAAAAGTCTAATATCTTGAAAACCGGTGAATATTTTTCGGTGAAATTTGGTATGATATTCGTTTTCGCTCTTTCTGAACCGAGCGACATCACTTTCATGCCAATTCATAAACTTTTTTGAAGGTGGGAGGGTCCCTTTAATTAGCAGGGAAAAATCATTGGAAGCGGAGCCTAATTTTGACATATGAAGAGATAAGAATAAGTAAATCCAATGGGACCAACTGCACCTAAAAAAGCGATATGCTGAAGTTACTTTACACGTAATTTTCTCATTTTCACCAAAGCTCGATAAATCATGCGCAAAGTAGTTTCGAATATCAGAACATGCCACCAGAGTGCAGGTGTCCTGGGAACTCGGGATTAGTCAACTTCAACAATTCATCGCATATTTGTTTTTAATTATTTGCCTATCTAATTTCACATCGGGAGGCACAGCCACTGCGTACGGTGGTTACTCCGTGCCTGGACTTGAGTTTTTAAACTCTTACTTTTTTCTCAATTAAATTGTAAGGATGTCTGATCTCGCCACTCGGCACACGCACATACTCGCAATCACATACAATCATGTAATCGCACCGCCTCAGGAACTGACACGAGATATTAGCAGCGCGCTCGCTCTTGTCGGAAGTAATGCTTAATAATTCAGTTCAGACTACACAGATCGGCCGATTTAAGCGTTAGCCTGCACTGAACTGCCAAAGCACGTGAAAAAAAAAACTCAAATGCGCTACGGACATCAAACAGGCACTGGCGAGCTTCCTTCGTAATTCAATCAGCACCAACCGGGGGTCAAATGACACACGATTGGCGGCTCGTCTGGGAAGGACCTGCCGGGTCGACGGACCCCTAACGGCCAATCTGACTGACTCAATCAGCACAGGGACGGATTACCGGGCGGTGGGTACCCTGGGTGGCCTGTCGCGGGGTGACCGGCGTGGTGGGCTGGGACCTCCCGTGGGGAAGGGACGGGGTGGGACGGACGGGTACGCACGGCTACCGACGCTGACCAGTGGCCACCGCGGGTCGTTTGAAGGAGGAAGATGGCGCTCCCATGGATGAAGTATCCATGGCGCTCCTGTGCTGTCACCGGGTCCAGGTGGGTGTAACCCTTTGATATGACCACCCAGAGCGGCCCGCGTTTGACAAGACGAAATCGCTCCGATCCGCGGCACTTGGACACAAGGAAATGTCACCAGTGTGTCTGGGTTGTGGTTACGTCCAGCCAATAGGGACCGATTCTACAGCATGGGCGCTCGCCGTAGCTTGCAGAAATGTTTGCAAACAATTGTGTGGCTTGTGCACTGAAAAAAGACGCTACCAGCTAGCAAAACAATGCAGTCGTGTAATTGCTACCTTCAAAACAGCCTCTGACGTAGCTGCTTGGGACAAAGAAGTCTCTCGGTGTTTTCAAATACCTCTAGTTTCGGAGATGTCTACATAGTCCTTCAGCTATACTGAGCTTCAGATTCAATTTAAGAGCCCATCACAGCAAATCCCCATCATAGTTCAGCGTTGAAGCCAGGGGTCACCGTATACACATCATAAGGCCAAAGGACATTATTTTATCCGCATGTCGTTGAATTGTGATGAATTGGATATCGACTGGCCAACGTAGAGAGATGGATGTCGGTATGTTTGTCAAAAGGACAGTGAACAGCAAATAGGACCTTTGATAAGGGTAGGCTGATGGATCATCATTGGTTTCCGTTGACGTAGGCATGCCCGCACAATGGACTGTGTATGCCTCGTGGGTCGTGGTTACCTGCGGTGATTATACAGTTATGATGATAAATGTGCCGTATATTTTCAGACCAATTAGCGGGTTTTGAGCTGTGCCATCACTTTGCCAGAAAATGTACCAAACAATCATTCAATCCAGGGGCGGTCACAGCCGTTTTGCTTTTTTCTCTTTGCCTGGTTAGTATGAAGGCCTATAAACATCTAAGTAGGGCATGTTGTACATTTTGCTACAAATAAATTCATCCAACAGTCAAATAGCTAAACATCATGTCAACGCTTATCAAATCATCAATCTTTAACGTTTTGTCTGTCACACAATTATCAACCTAAATTTATCCTCTCTCAAATGCTCAGCAAACAAGGTCATCTATCCTCAAACGATTAGCCATCAAATAATCGATCGACAAATCATCGGTCGTGCGCTTACGCCTCACCATACCGATACCGTCTGGTATTTGCTAAGTAGCTGCGTGTGAGTTCCGCTAAATTAGTTGAGGAGCCTCCCCACCGCGCCGGTTGCTAGGCGATCGGCTGGCCTCGTTCCCCACTCGTCAGCCGCCAGCCGGCCGCCCGTGCTCTGATTGCTCCGCTGTGTGACGTCACCAGGTCACGTGACCGGCGCCGGCGGCTGACCCCGTTGACCCGGTTGGATCGGCGTCGGTCCGTCAAAATGGCGTCGAACGGTACAGTCCGGTGGCTGGGGGAAGGGGGGGGGGGCGTTGCAGTGCCCACGTGTGCGTAGGAGTGGACGGGGAGGGGAGGGTGCAAACCAGTTAGTACGCGGAACGGAACTGGGCTGGGAAGTGTGACAGACGTCAGACGTGAAGCAACCGGAAAGGTCATTTAATGATAGAGAGGTCATATGTGCAATTATTGGCATTGTTGTCGATGCCAAGGTGTGTAGTTTGTTAAAAGTAAGATTAATTAAAAATATAGGGGAAGTTGGGGGAACGCCGAATACTTTTTTCTGACGCCCGTAGCACGCAAGGTAGACAACATAAGCTATTCTTGTTGGCGTCATTCGAGAGGCCAGTCTTTTGCCTTTCAAACATACCAGGCGCATTTGATGAATTCGCATACCGTTAAGCGCACAAACTAAAAATATCAAAGAAGTGACTTTTTCGGCGTTGCCCCGGACTGCGGGGAAAGCCGAAAATGGGAGAAATGATCTACGGGGAATGCCGGCATTGATGTTTTGCCACTTTATCTCAAACTTTATCCAGAATTTTTCAAAGCTGACACGCGTTTTAAGAGCTTGAGGACGCTTGGTGCACACTGGAAGTTATAATTGTGTGATATAATAAGAAAATGCCAGGTAAATAATTCCTTATAGGTAACAGGCCGTTGTGTCGGTTGGAAGTGTAATTTGTGTGACTAAAAATTGGCGTTGCTATTCTACAGCAGTAAAGTCCACGTAGCGTGCTTTAACGTGCGTAATTGCACGTTTTCGGCATTACCCCAGCCAGCCATACTTTCATTTGCAGGCCCATAACTTTTCAACGTGCCGTATAAATTTCAAATAGGCAGCACACTTATGCAAAGACATGCTGAAGATACTTGACCGAATTGGCCAGACAAACGGTAGCATAATGAGTAAGAAATGCAGCTTCAAAGGCGCATGTAGTACAAGGAACGCGTACCTTGAAAACGCTCTTGGCGCCCTCACAGCCGAAGTATTCCGAATGACGACTCGTAACAAACATGCGATAATTGTAGTCACTTAAGCTTCAGAGCATCACTGACAGGTGGCATCCATGTCTTACGGTTTTCGAAATATCTCGAATTTCGGCTTTGCCCCAACTCCAGCATTGCCCCAACTTCCCCTAAACATTTAACATTCCCATTATTTAAGTAAGCTTGGATAGGTTTCGTTAGTCAAACGTCTTTAATTCTTTATCTAAAATTCGTTTGCGAGTTGTAACCTTTTTATAACTTATTACAAACACATGGGTTATAGCGGACAGAAAACAACTGCTTAAATTTTGAATTCAACCCATGCTTGTTTTGATGTCTTTGATGTCTGTATTCACAGTTTTTATGACTTCGCCTGTTAGTGGGCCATGAGTCTGTTGGCGATTTATTTGAATACATAGACAAATAAATAAATGAATAAGCAAACAAATCAATAAATATATGAATAAATAAATAAATAAATAAATAAATAAATAAATAAATAAATAAATAAAT